AGTAAACGTCAACATTTATTAAATTTTGGTCATTCCACTAATGTTCATCGGTTTGACTAATGGAAAAGTGATTGGCGGCCTAATTGGCAAATAACTATACTAACATGTCACCTTTCCGTTAGTCAAATTAATGGATATTGACCTCTGTTGTAACAAGTTTAAGTTGAGCGGCCAACTCAAAACAATATAAGCTTTATTGGCAAACATGAAATTTTGCTAAAAATTTAGTGACCATCAATGTATTTAACCCAATCACGTACTGAACATCATATATGATCAATCTGAATTGACTGCATCTATTAGTATTAGTGAAGCCACTCAAGGTACAAAATTGGATTCTTCCTGAAATGCCTCGTCTTATAACAAATTTTCTGATATCTCTTGATGATCGTTTCCTTATGTGGCCAATTGGCTTCATGGTGATATTAGATAATATAATATTGAAGACCCTGCAACTCCTCAACTGACGGGGCAAGTATGTGTTGGAAGATTAGTTTGAAAAGGAAACACTATGGTTGTTGAGGCAGATAATTGTTCAACGTACCTGGTTGACGTTCCCGATGTTCAGGTATATTCTACTTTCCTTATTGAGGTTTTACATGATGCTTTCGGTTTCGATTTCAAAAACTTATATATAATCACTATTGTCATTTCATTCATTTCTACGGTAAAAAATTTCGGCTTTACTAAACAGCACTCCACAATAGTAAAGAAAAAAAATCTAAAATCTTGTTTATTGAGTATTTAGTACGGTCTAATACTACCTCCTTAACATTCGTGCAATGAATTAGGCAGGATCGTATGCCTACCTTCATAAAGTGTGTTAGGTTTTTAATGTAATTGGCAAATCTGTCAACAAAATGGACTAGATTTATTGTGTTGCAAAAGTCAATGAGTAACTTGCAATTGTTAGAAATTAAGTTGTTTTAGGTCTAGGATTCGAGAATGGAAAAGAAGGAAAAAAGGGCACCACAATTTCATTAGACTGTCGCCATGGTTTGGCTCGAGCGGTAGAAATAGAAATGTTATCGCTAGCCTGTCGTCAGGACTTCGCTCGAGCCATACACCGTCGCTCGGCTATTGCCCAACTTTCCCTCGAGCAACGGGGTTATCCGAAGAATCTTAATTCGCATTTTTAAGGCTTTTTATCCTGCCCATTCATTCCTTAACCTGTAATATATATATCATAATGCCTCTGAACGATTTTTTCCAAGGTTGAACATTGAGGAAACACATACTCTCCATATCATCTTCATCAAATGAGCTTTCAACCTTCATGCTGTAATTTGTTATTGGCAGTGAGAACATCAAATTCATAATTCAAATACCAAATTGCTACTTCTTACTTATCCGTCAGAGTGCTAAAGATCAAGGGAAGGTGACTGGAGTTCCAGTTGTTGGAGAATGCGGAGTTCTTCATTAATCCACAAGAGATAGACGAATTCAAAAAGACGGGAGTTGGTGCAGGAACGCGCAATCCAGGAGGGCTTTGAAAAGTACAGCTGGGAGTTGGTGCAGGAGCACGCAATGCAGGACAGTTGTGAGAATTGCAATCAGAAGGTCAGAAAGTACTAGTGGTAGTCGTTGTCTGACGGACTGTAAGTTCAAAATTCATTTACAGTAGATTTCTGACTGCAAAGTGCTCGAAGTTTTTACTCAGTTAGGTTTCTTCGTGATCATTTCTGGTATTTATTTATTACTTTCATACAACTGCGGTATTTCAACATAGGAAAATTGGATTGATTGATTAACCATCTAAAGATAATTAACATTGACTTGTTGCTAATTAATTATTAAGTTTTAATTTCGCATAATCATCTATTCACCCCCCTCTAGGTGTAGTTTGGGTCGAACCTCGTAATTTCAAAGTGTAAAGTATTGCCTTTGGCATTTTTAGCATGGCAAGCACTATATCATTTTATTTTGGATTTGATAATCCAAATTATTTATTGTGTTGCTCATAGGAGATTAGTCTCGACTAACCATCAACCATACAAAACCTGTAATTTTTTGATTTTTCTATTTAGGGAAATCATTTGAGAGGAGGATCTCAGATGATACTGCTGAGCTTAGATGGAAAGCGACTCTACGTTACAAATTCTCTCTGCAGTATATGGGACCATCAATTTTATCCTGAGCTTGTGCAGAATGGCAGTCATATCTTACAGATTGATGTTAACAATGAGAAAGGTGGTTTCACAATAAACTAGAAAGTTTTTTGTCGATTTTGGAGCTGAACCAAATGGTCCATCCAACCGCGTACTTTACTCTATAGGGCGCGGGGGCACATCTGACATGGATTTAAGCATTCGAGAATTGCGGTCGTATTGATGCTTCCACAAGTACAAGTATGTCAATGCGTTAGCAAATCCAGATAAAAACATTTAACCTATATATGTTGAATAAACGAATTACATTTTATTGCATGGCCAAAATTATCAGTAGATAATTATTGAAACTGAGAAGAGGAACTGAAATGGAAGAAGATGAATTCACTAGTTATTGAATTAACTCGGTAGCCAAAGGCTAAATAGGTGCAAAACAAAAAATAGGCGGGAACTAAAATGACAGCTGGCACAACTAATTACCAGCAGGAAAAGGAAAGTAAAAACACTGACTAGCAAAGCTTAATCTCCTAATTATAGTAAGTTGGAAATTATCATTTCTAATACTCCCCCTCAAGATGTGTGTAAATATCCTTAACACACATCTTGGACAATAAAGGAGCAAGACAAGAAGAAGGCAAAGGCTTGGTGAAGAATTGGCGCATGAAATGAGATATCCCGACGGGGGCACATCTGACATGGATTTAAGCATTCGAGAATTGCGGTCGTATTGATGCTTCCACAAGTACAAGTATGTCAATGCGAAAGCAAATCCAGATAAAAACATTTAACCTATATATGTTGAATAAACGAATTACATTTTATTGCATGGCCAAAATTATCAGTAGATAATTATTGAAACTGAGAAGAGGAGCTAAAATGGAAGAAGATGAATTCACTAGTTATTGAATTAACTCGGTAGCCAAAGGCTAAATAGGTGCAAAACAGAAAATAGGCGGGAACTAAAATGACAGCTGGCACAACTAATTACCAGCAGGAAAAGGAAAGTAAAAACACTGACTAGCAAAGCTTAATCTCCTAATTATAGTAAGCTAGAAATTATCATTTCTAATACTCCCCCTCAAGATGTGTGTAAATATCCTTAACACACATCTTGGACAATAAAGGAGCAAGATGTCAGCTAGCTGATGCCTTGAACAAACGGGAAGCAACTTGATAACCTCAATGTGTTTTGTTCTCTCATGGAAAACTGGGTTGGTTGCAATTTGAATGGCCGCCTAATTGTTACAATAGATAGCAACATGAGCAAATGTGTAAATTTGGAAGTTATTCAATAACTGGTTGATTTATACGATTTCACTTACAGTGGAGGCAAGTGCCATGTACTCTGCCTCCGCTGAAGAACGAGAAATAATGGGCTGCTTCTTGGATTTCCAAAGTTATTCATTATCTGGGTGATTTATACGATTTCACTTACAGTGGAGGCAAGGGCCTTGTAGTCTGCCTCCGCTGAAGATCGAGAAAAATTGGGCTGCTTCTTGGATTTCCAGGAAACCATAGAACTACCAGCAAAGACACAAAACCCAGTAGTGGATTTTCTGGTATCCACACATGATCCCCAATCAGCATCCTAGAAGACTCTAATGTTGATGACTGAATTGGAGCTGAGTTGTGACGGAAAGAAAAGACCTTGGCCAGGGTGACCTTTCAAGTATCGCAGCAAGTGGTGAACTGCCTTCAGATGTGGCAAATGTGGTTGAGAAACAAACTGACTCAACTTATGAACCGCAAAGGTTATATCTAGCCGTGACAGAGTTAAGTAAAGAAGTTTCCCAATAAGTCGCCTATAATGAGACGTATCAGGTAATAAATCTCCCTCATGTTTACTGAGAGCAAACTTAGGATCCATGGGACTAGTTACCGGTTTGCAATCCAGGTAATGAACATCTTCAAGCAACTGCAACGTGTACTGTCTTTGGGATATAACAATGCCAGAGGAAGATCTGGCCTCCTCAATCCCCAAAAAATATTTCAAGACCCCCATATCCTTGAGTCTAAATTGTGATTGTAAAAAGGATTTCAAGGAATTAATCACCTCGTTGTTGGGACCTGTTATCATGATATTGTCAACATAGACCAGGAGGGCAACAAAGTTCAGTCTTGAGCCTTTTGTGAAGAGGGAATAATCTCCCTTCGATTGTGTAAAACCATGACCCAAAAGAGAGTGAGTAAACTTAGAATTCCACTGTCTCGATGCCTTTTTTAACCCATAAATGGACTTGTGCAACCTGCACACCAATTTCTCCCCATGACACGAAGGCCTCAGCAAGTCATAACCAAGTGGGAGATCCATGTACACCTCTTCAAATAAATCCCCATTCAAAAAAGTATTGTTTACATCCAATTGTGTTAAATGCCAATTATAGTGAGCTGCAAGACTGAGCATCAATTTAACAGTCACAGCCCTTGCAACAAGTGAAAATGTATCAAAATAATCCAGCCCCTCTTGCTGGGTATACCCCTTTGTAACCAGTCGTGCCTTATGTCTTTCAAGTGAACCATCAGACCGAAATTTGTTCTTATATATCCATTTGTAACCCACAGTATGTTTACCTGGAGGCAATTTCACAATAGACCAAGTCTGGTTATCTTCTATTGCTGTTAACTCAAGCTTCATGGCATCACACCAGTGAGGAAATTTTGTAGCTTGATGGAAGAACTGAGGTTCAATATGAGAAGAAATGGATAAAGAAAAGTGTTGATGTGATTGTGAGAGATTTTTGTAGGAAATAAAATTGGTAATATGGTAGGAATGATAGGTTAAGGACTGCTTTTCATGAGATATCAAATTACAATGATAATCATGGAGGTATTTTGGGGTTCTAGAAGATATGGTGGATTTTCGAATGACAACATTAGATGTGTTGGAAGAGTCTATCTGATCAGGCAAGACATGGCTATTTGTTTCATCGAAGGAAGAAGAGGTAACATCAGTAGAGTGATGTGCCTCATGAGGAGATGAAGAGATGTTAGCTTCAGGTAAAATGATTTCCTGTTGAGCAAGACTTGTTGGTGTAGAAATGATATCTTCAGGCATGGTACTAGGAACAGATAGAATGGAAGATGGCAGTACTAAGTCAGGGAAGGGATCAAGTATTTGTTCTAAAGGAATAATAATATGAAAAGGAAATGTTTCTTCGTGGAAGATAACATCCCTAGAGACAAAAATCTGTTTAGAAATCACATCAAGTAACTTGAAACCCTTAATTCCAGATGGATAACCCAAGAACACACACAATCGTGCACGATGTTGAAATTTAGTCCTATGTGCAGTAAGAGTGGAAGCAAATGACAAGCACCCAAAGACACGAAGGTGAGAATAATCAGCAGACTTGCCATGAAGGATTTCGTAAGGGGTGTTATGCTTTAGGATGGGAGATGGGCTTCGATTGATCAGATAAGCAGCTGTCAAGATACGTTCTGACCAATAACGGATAGGGATTCTAGATTAAAAGAACAGGGCTCGAGCAACATTCAATAAATGCTGGTGTTTGCGTTCAACAATGGAGTTTTGCTGTGGTCTTTCAACACAACTGAATTGATGTATCACTCACTTCTCAGCAAAAAAGACTTTACAGGCCAATTCACGTGCATTGTCTGATCTCAAACACTTGATTTTAGCTTCAAATTGTGTATGAATCATATTAAAGAAGCAAATTATTGCAGCTTCTGCATCAGATTTATGATGTAGCATATAAATCCAAGTAAATCTCGAACAATCATCTACCAAAGTTAGAAAGTATTTCTGCCCTGTATGTGAAGCAACATGGTATGGTCCCCATATGTCACCATGCAACAAATCAAAAGGTTTATCAGACAATCTATTTTGTGTCTCAAAAGATAACCTTCGTTGTTTGGCTAAGGGGCAAACATAACAAGGAATTTGTCTATTGAAATCTGAAATATTACAGGAAAGTTGATTCCTCAGACCATCTAATCTCTTAAAAGACAAGTGGCCAAGTCTATTATGCCATATGCGAGCAGTCACATTACAAACAAAATTATTTGAAACAGAAATGGAATCAATTATTCTGGTATCAAGCACATATAACCCTTGAACTCTATTTCCATTGCCAATCATCCTCATGGTAGTATTCTCCAGAATTTGAAACTGATCCTGAGAAAATTGTAATATGAGTTTGGAGTCAGTAGATAATGCACTAACTGACAGCAAATTAAACTTGAATTGTGGTACATATAGGACATCATGCAACATCAGGTTAGTACCCAGCTTGACTTCACCGCATAGATTCACAATTATCTTGGTATGATTAGGCAGAGTAATGCTGGCATTTTCAACCCTCAGATTAACAAAAGCCTCAGCATTACAGCAAACATGTTTAGTAGCACCTGAGTCTACTATCCAAATCTCCTTAGAAGCAAAAACAGGATCAACAGATATTGAGTGGCAAATACCTGCATTACCTGTAGTAGGCTGCTGTTTCTCGTGCTTAGTAGATTTCGTGCTTGAGTTCTGTGCTAAGTTGGACAACATTCTCATTAGTTGCTGATACTGATTTGTGTTCAGGTTATGCATAAACTCTCCTGCTGCAGATTGATCATCCAAATGTTGATTGATAGACATTTGATTGACATGAGTATTTGAAGAGTAACCTTGACCATTTTCCTTGAATTTCGGTTTGAATCCAGGAGGATATCCATGTACTTTATAGCACTTATCAATAGAATGCCCATGGAACTTGCAATGAGTGCAATATGGTTTGTCCTTCCTCCTATAATTGGTCACACTTCCAGATCTGGATCCCTCATATCTAGAGTGATAATTCATCAGTGGTTTAGTATTATCAAATCTGGATCCCTCATATCTAGGAGTATGATTCATCAATGGTTTATTATTATCAGATCTGATAGAAAACGCTGCAGTAGTTCCACTAGAATTGTCATCTAAAACAGGTGCACTTACCTCAATTGCAATTAGGTCTGAAATTGACTAATTCTTCCCATACGGTCTTCAATTTAGAGAAGTAAACGCTGTTTGTAGGCTGGTCTTGAGCTAAATTCATCAACTCCTTCCTCAATTGGAAAATACGAGGTCCATTACTTTGTTGAAACCTCTCTTTGAGGTCGTTCCAGATCTCATGTGCAATAGAAGCATAAATGATGCTGGCCGAGATCTCCTTCGAGACAGAGTTTAGTATCCAGGACATAACAATGTTGTTATTTCTAATCCACGAATTGGCTAACTCTGGATTCAATTCATCAGGTTTCTCCATAGATCCATCAATAAAAGCGACTTTATTCTTCACTGAAAGGGCGATTGTCATTGCACGGCTCCATGATAGATAGTTTTCACCGGTAAGCAACTGTGAAACAAGTACCAAACCAGGATTGTCAGAATGATGAAGAAAAAATGGTCTAGATGGCTCATCAATGGCTGTTTTTCCCAGAGATGATTGCCCATGGGTATTGATTTGATTATTCTCTGGATCCATACCAGCAGAATTTGAAACTGGAAGGGATTAAAAAAAATCGAGATTCAGAGTTAAGCAGCACTCGCTCTGATACCATATTGAAACTGAGAAGAGGAGCTAAAATGGAAGAAGACGAATTCACTTGTTATTGAATTAACTGTGTAGCCAAAGGCTAAATAGGTGCAAAATAGAAAATAGGCGGGAACTAAAATGACAGCTGGCACAACTAATTACCAGCAGGAAAAGGAAAGAAAAAACACTGACTAACAAAGCTTAATCTCCTAATTATAGTAAGCTGGAAATTATCATTTCTAATAATAATCCATAATTTAACATAGAAAAACTGACATTATATAAAACTTTAAAAATTTCTTCAGCTCTATCCATTGAGACCAACTTCAGTGTCACGCTTGGGAAATCACAAGATCCATGACATGCTCAACAAAACAATAAACATGGTATTTGAGCCGGTCATCCATTTATAAAATATGTGTAGTTAAAGTTGTTAAAGATTGACTTAAATTTTTAGATGAGATGGTGATTGAGCATAAACTTACTTGGGTCAGTGGTGGTTTGAACAGCAAGGCCATTGAAGCAGCATGAAGCACCAGTGTCCGGAAACTTTGCCCAATACGAACTGAACGCATAGCTCGCATGTGCAACCTCTGATACCGGTTGATAGCATGCCTTCTCTGGCACAAGTTCATCATAAGTCCCATTTCGCTGCCCACACTTGAAATCCAACGCTGACCCCTACTCCGATGTATCCACCAGACTCGCCAATACGCACCACAACTTCCCTTTAAAAGGTTCGTTATTCAATGGCTCCTGCAAATGTGGTCTGTGGATAATCACTTCCAGGTCGGACTCCAGTCAAGTCCAGCTCATAAATTGGAGTCCCATTTGGGTTCAACATTCCCCAGTGCCTTTTAGTTCCTGGCCCAGAATTCTGGTTCTCATCATATAAGGAGAATTAGAAGGTTGGGATCACATCCCTGGGTCGAGCTGATGTTCCAATTGTCGGAGAAGCAGTCATTTTTTGGACTAGATTTCTGTTATACATTGCTGCTTGCACCAGTTTGATCCATGTCACCTTCATTAGGCCAACCCGTTTCTAATATCCCAATCCTGATGTTTTCGAAACCAAGTCTTCAAAATAGCGAAAACGACATAATCGAGCATCTGATCAAGAAGATTTGTGTAAATTAATCCACTCCCTGTATCGTTGTACGTCTGATTTACATCCTTAAACAATGCAAAATCCAGGCTGATGTTTGTCGGATTCTCATACCATGTTAAATAAGGATATAAATCAAGAAAAAAAGTATGATTGAGTCCCATTCAAGAATTTCAGCAATGGGATCATAACCTTGTCCGAAATTTCGTCCTTAAATTTCCCACTTGAAGGAGGGAATATTGATTCCACTACATCTATAGCCAAGGGCGTCCCAACTTTGATGTTATGAATGTTATGTGAAACTAAGGATTTCTTGATTTTCTGCATAGCTGGTACAAGATCAGCCCACATTTTCTGATTATCATAACTAAGAACTTCATTCCCAACAAGAATGGATCGGATTTTGGTGTTGGGATAATATGTAAGAACGTTGTCACGAATGCATTGATCAGCTATTGTTTGGTTAGTTGCAATACCATAAATTAGGTCATTTGTCACAATTATTGAGACACGAAGCCTCGTGCCTGATAGAAGTTTTAGTACTTCAGGGCTGGCTTCATAGATCTTCACACGACCAGCATTCATGGATTTCAGGAATTCAATTGTTTTATAAGGAAATGGCAAATTATTTCCCAGTCGACCATAGTTTATGCCGATGTTGCTTAAAACCTGTTAGGCAAATTGTTGTCAAACGACCTCCCCGGGCAATGATGTAAGTTTGTGTATTTCAGTCGACATCGACCAAATGACTGAAAGTATATCGGCACCACAATTTGGTAAATCAACCATATAACCTAGTTGGGCCATTGGAAGCAGCCCAATCTTAATTAGGCTGCTCATGGCCCAATCCAGACATGGAGGGCTCTTATATGTTGATAGCCCACTTATTGTTCCTGTTTGGGCCTTACCATTCCTTATTGGACTTGACCTAAATTCATACCTAATTCTATATATTTCCTAGGACCGCTACTGTTGCTATTAGTGTGAGAATTATTTGATAGTCCATATTAGAGAGAAAATCGGCTGTGGCTTTGTGCTTCCTGCTCCTTGAAGTGGCTGTGTGCTACTTCATCCTCTTCTCTCTTTCTCCTTTGTGGTAAACCTGTGGCTATACTTATTCTCCATTCTCAGTTCCATCTTGTGGGCAGAAAACTTAGAGCAACCAGTTTGGTCAAGGTTTTGGTTTGGGTTTTCTCATTGTGGTGTCGATTGAAGGTCACTGAGCCCGGTATCTTGGTGAGAAGCTGGTGGTTAATCTTCACAAAACCAGTGCATGTATAGACAGAAACACCGACGAGTGAATATGAGAATTAATTGTACAATAATTCTATCTAAAAATCACAAATTTCTGTTTAAGGGCTTCAGATAACAATGACATGAGAGATTATATACTAATTATACAATCATGCTGAAACAATTCCAAAATTTAGCAGCATTTTACGACTCGTCCATGTGAAGAAACTTACTTGAGGAAGCAAAGATACAGAACAAAGATAATACAAAAACTGTCGTCTTTATGCACATCTTTTTGTTGAAGGAAATGGAGAAACTATCAGATCGCGTGCGAAGAATCAGAAGAATGGGAAGGTATATATGTAGTGAAAAAATGAAGAAACTGTTGAACTACCAATTTCCCGAGGTGTGACTAAGAACAGATCAATGATCTTTGTGAGAGTTCAAATAGAAAAAGAAACACAAAGTTATTGTAATTAAATGTAGAAGGGAGTGACTGGAGAAGGAATATTCAAAGGTCCAAGGCAAGGATTGTAGGTCACGGTTTGTTTTGGATTTGTTGTGCCATGTTTTAGTAAAACTTGGTTCTAAACGTGTGCACTAACTACTAAGCTATAAAACAGAGATTTAGCAGCCGAATTCTCTATTAGTCTAGGAGTTAGATTTTGCTTGGCGTCTCTTGTCAATGTTGTGATCTGAAAAATGTCTAGATATGTGTGATACAGAGTCGATTAGTGAGCTGAGCATATTGAGTTAGGAGCGATGGTCATTCCACTCCGATGATCAAGTCAGCTACTCAGTAGACAGCATGCTAGTTGACATAACCAACACACAATTCTTCAATTTTTGAGGTAATCTAAGCCCTACAGGAATGAGAAATTTGCTATTGTTTTATCAAATACTTTTGTTTTACTTTAAACATACAAGTTTGATTTTACTAAAACTGGTTTTAGTGGTATGCCATTTCGAGTTAGATGAAGTTAGTATGGTTGAGCTACTTAAACCTTCATGGCATTGTTTCCATGAGTTCTTACCTCGTTTTCATATGCATAATATATATCTTAGAAAATTAAAAGAAATACTTGTCCATACACACTTTGTAATACAACTCTTCTTAATTACTCTGAACAAATCTTAGTCTTAAAAGCTGGTCGATTATGCACATGTGACGAAGAACTCAACAATTCGACAACAAATAATTAAAGAAGAAACGGATCAAAAAAGAAAAAAAAGAGACTAAGAAAGAATTTAGGTTAAGAATATATCAATTTATTTCATACATTCAAGGGTGTCAGTGACTAAAACTTAAGCCCCTTCATACAAAGAAAGGGCTTTCAATCCATGTAAACTCTTAATCTAAATAAACTTGTAAAAGATAGCATTGAGATAACATATATAAACTACTAAAATCCAGATTTCTTTCAAATATTTTTCTTCTGAGTAGACTTGTGGATGTTTCCGTGTTGCATCAATATGCCTTTGAATCAATAATTAAGATAGGAGAGGACAGTTTTGAATTAAGTGGAAAATGATTGGTTTGATCCAACAACCTGATCGATCTTTTGGAATTCTAAGTGTAACCTTGAACCACCTTCTTTAACTGCTTCCTTAGCCAGAATTTTCCATTGTTGAGCTTGCTTTCTCATTTCGTCTCCTCTCTCTCCACCTCTCATAACAATTTCTAAACACCTCGCAATCTCATCCGCAGTTACTATTCCTCCATCTACATGAGCAGCCAATTTCAGGCCAGTCTTCCAAAAATCTTGTATAAGTTTTGCATTTGTAAACTGATCAGTCCACTGTGGAAATGCCACCACTGGCACCCCAGAAGCCAAACTTTCAATACAAGAATTCCACCCACAATGAGTCAAAAAACAGCCCACAGAATGGTGTGATAAAACCTCCAATTGGGAACACCACGGAACAATCATACCTTGTTTTTCCACTTCTTTCATTAAACTAAGCGTGTTGTCTTCTTCTCCCTCTGTACCACTTTTTCCGTCTCTAATCACCCACAAGAATGGTTTCTGGCTTTTGATCAGTCCTTTAGCAATTTCTTCCATTTGTTGTTTCGATAAATTGGAAAAGCTTCCAAAAGATATATAAATAACGGATAATTCGTCTTTCGAATTTAGCCAATCAATATAATCTACAGTCTTCTGTATGAGATCACCTCCATATGATGTGTCCAGAGGATCCTTCCCATCTAAAAACGCAGAAGGAATCAAAGGTCCAATGCCCATCAAATCATACTTATTAAAAGCCCTTAAGGTTTCGAATTCCAATGCATCAAATGTGTTCACAAGTACTTTCTGCTTGGTCCCAGCTCTTTCAAGAATCTCAAAATGCTCTTTGAAAGTAGGAAGAGCAAAATTGTAGATTACAGGGCTTGAAGATTGCATAAAAGATGGCAAATCGCAAGAACTAAGCACTAATGGCAGTCCTGGAAGTTCAATACCTTCACTGTTTTCTCCTGTAAAAATCTCGTTCTTATTGAAATACAAGTAATAAGCATAAAAAACAGTAGCCGGTTGATTCCAAAGCAAGGTGGATGGGATTTGAAGCTGATATGCCACTTCACCTGCCCATGTAACGAGGGTAGAGTAGACTACATGAGTAAACGAGTGGCCTTCTTTTTCTTTAGCCAAGAGAAGATGTTTAACAGCTTCAGAACCGCAAGTTCTGAAAGATGACATGAAATCTTGGAAATCTTTGGCGCCTGTCCAGCCATTGTCGTATCCATCAGAAAAAGGAGCCAGCGTCAGGCCTGGTATCGTCGAGGCAGCTTCGGACATGCGACTGATTGCAGATAGACTGGTGGAGAAGGTGACTTTCGCTCCAATTTGCAGGAGGCGCTTTGCAAATTGGAGGGACGGGTTTATATGGCCCTGTCCTGGAAAACTCACAAGAAGAATATGGCAATTCACCATGTTGAAAATTGTAATTTGTTTGTGTGTGGAGTAGTGTATGGCTTGGATTAGATTGGATTTTATAGCAGATTGATGACCATGACAGATGACGTTTGTGATTACACAAGATTGTGTATAATAATTCAAGGAAGACGAAGTTGCCATGGTATCTTTCAAAACTCATTTTCAATTACACGTTTTTTAATAAAATAATATTTTTCATCACATTCAAAATTTTTCTTTATTTTTTAACCACATATTTTTCATCACATCACTATTTAAAATTCTTTTCTCATTAGTGCATATCAAACAACCCCCTAGTATTTATCATTGGTGTATAGGTGGAGGCTCGACAACACCCAATGGGGGGGTAAATTTTTTTTTTTTTTTTTTATTGAGGGTCCATGGGACCCACCTCGTGAGTTATCTACACCCAACATTTCCCTTTACCATTAGTCTTGACATGATAAAACATTGGATCTTTAGGTTTTTTGTTTTCTCACTACACCATTACTTTTTTTTTTTTTTATATGACACTACACCATTACTTGAAAGCATGTTTTAAAAGTTATATTGACAAATACAGCGATAAACATTGAAAATAATTAAGTAAAAAGAAATTAAATTACGAAAAGCAACATGAAAACAGGAGTCACCTTGATGAAGCATCGCCCCTTGGCAGGGGTGGACGCAGAAGTTTTAAGTTAGGGGGGCACAATCGAACTTGCAAAGAAATTGAGAGAAATTTTACAATCGAAAATTTACGTCCAAAAAAATCATACTCCACGTAATTTTGCATCCGAAAATTTACATGAGATATGACTTTTTCGGATGTAAAATTTCAAAATTTTTTGATGTCATATTCCATATAAAATTTCCTAATAAAATGATGAAAATTATATTGAGAAATTTATATCGCAAAAATAATAAATGTTAATGAAATAATTGATTTTTTTTTTAAAAAAAATTGTGAGTTAGACGTTTTTCTTTAAGACTCACGTTTAATTATTTTTGATATTTGTTTGGACTATTCGATATGTTCATAATGTAGTTCTCAAAATAAATTTTAAGATGATATAAGTAATTTGTAGATTCGATTAGCGTACGATTGTTGGAGAATTTTTCAAATTAACTTGTTATCGAAATTCAAATTTATTGTGATTTTGCCCCTATTTGATGGAGATTAAAATCAAATGTTTAGTAAATTTTGATAAAAGTTAAATAGTTATGAATTTCATGAAATATGTTATTAGAATTAATTGTTAACTTTAATTTATATCAAAATTTAGATTTCAATTGATGACCCTTAGGTCCGCGGTCCGCCCCCCTTGGTTAACCTCACACATGTTTAAATAGAGATGATTAAATTAGATAAGTTCGGAAGGGCCGATAGAAAAAGTCCATTGGATAGCAGGAACGTGGATCATGATTATATTTTGAACGGTGTCTTATGTACGTTAATGAAGTTCTAATGTGCAGATGGCATATATGTCGACAGAGATGTGGTTAATGATCTATTGATAGCAAGATCGTGCAAATTTTTAACAACCCCACTACATGTACAATGATTAAGAGGTTGTAATTTTTACAACCTCTCACAATGAGGTGGGACCCACTAATTAATTAATTAGTGGGCCCGACCTCCATGTATTCATTGTACAAATAGATTTTTTGAATTTTTAATGTCGACAAGTTATATATTGACAAATATAGCGATAAACATTGAAAATAATTAAGTAAAAACAAATTGAATTACGTAAACGAACCTGAAAACAAGGATAATATTGTTTAATTTAGAGACAAGGAAACATATTTGGAGAACAGATCACGACACTAATTCAAGACTAAAGTAAGCTCACAAATTCAAACCAAACTCTGACTTTTGAAATCTCATACATAGTCAATATAATTAAATATTTAATTAATTTTATTTTATCAAAATACTTTTGTTTTTACCGGTCAAAATTTCTACCGCTCATATGAAACACTGGTTAGCAACCTGTGGATTGCACGTGATTTTTAATTTACAACTTCAAATTACTTAAAAGAGATAAATAAAGTAGAATATTATAACTTAACAATTTTTTATTACTCGGACCCGTTTCTTAAAATTCTTTTTTTTAAATTATTTTCAGCCACAACTCTTATCTACTTCTCAATTACATATTTCATCAACTTTTTTTAAAATTTAATAAAAATTTGATGTTTTTCAAATAACGAACAGGGGTGCATTAAGATCGTTAATCCACGCCAAGAACTAAAAATGAAAGACATAACAAACTATTCAAGAACTTTACTTGCATTAACTTAGAAATGAAATCCAAAAGGAAAAAAAGAAAAAGAAAAGAAAAAGAAAAACTTTACTTGGGAGAAATTTTATCTCACATAGGTTGTGGGCCAGTAGGAGGTAAAGACAATCTTATTTAACTTTTTTTCTTCTCTACTTTGCAATTTAACCCTTTTTTTTAGAGTTGAACAGGACAAAAGAATTAGAATCAACCAATTTTGTCACGTATTATTTCCTATCAATTAAATTTTTTTAACAAAAATCAATCCTATAGCTACAATTATCGTCCAAGCTGCTATGTTCATTCGATAACATTTAATTAGTGAATGTTGCCAAATAAGTGTTGCGAAAGAGGGGTTTTGTTGTAGTGTATATCTATAATTAAGTGAAACTTTTGGGACTGCACTGCAATTTTCCCTAATTAAACTGAATATTCAAGGCGAGATAGTAAATATATATATTGGCGCGCGTTCTCACAAAATCACGCTCATTATAATCATTTGAAAGAAATTAATATTATGAAGCTTCTGTTCACAAATTCTAATTCGATCGGATTTGAACGCAAAAGTAAGTTGATGTCATTCTTTTGAGTTAATTTATCTAAATTAATTTCTACGGTTTCTACACCTTCTTAATTGTCCTCAAGTTTGTTGATTACGTATTTGGTTGATTTTTTGTTTAAATTGTATATTGTCCAGTGGTGTAAAACATACTTAAACTATGGTGGATGTTTAGTTGTTATGATTTTGGATCGCAAGATAATAACGATAATGGAATAAACAAAAAGAAAATAAACACCAAAATTTACGTGGAAACCCAATACAAGAAAAAACCACGGACAGAGGAGGAAAAATCCACTATAATCAATAGCAATTGTGTTTACAAGATCTCAATGCACTCAATTGAAATCTAAAACTCTCAAGATGTTGTATGAATCTTTTTAATTTCTATACAAGTAGTGTCATATATATATATATATATATATATGAATCCTAGAGAACAAGTTGTAGAAGAATAGGATTCCAAAATCACGTCAAAAAACGGAAACAAGCTTGGCAGGATAAGCCAGTCGTTTGAGCGATAGGTGAATCGCTCAAGCGACAAGTCTCTGATTGTTTTCTACCGAGCTCACTGGAGTGCCCAGCTAGCGCTAGGCTAGTGAAAATGCGATTTAGATTCCAATACCTACTAGAATTGCAGGATGACTAGTTAGATGAATCTATTATTTAATTTTTGCATCTCAGCAAGTTAGGCATGCTGAATTCAGATTTACAATTAGATATGGATTCAATTACATACTAATGCATCTATAATTTATGTTATAAGTAAAACTAAAACTGTTGAGTTATCCAATGGTGTTTCTGTTGTTTTACTTTTAAGCAAAAGTAAGTTGATCAGTCACTTATTGTCCAGGGGAGGGATAGAATGAAGCATCAAACTAGAAAAATAAAATTTAATAATATGTTGTGTGTTTATGTTAGACTCCTTTATTGTTGATCCATTAGTTTGTGCAATTGTTTTGGCCACTATTTCGAGTTGTTTTGGATAGCTTCCGTCCTAGAAGCCTCACATGTCTTGGCTTTCTATGAGGAAACTGATTTGAGCTTGCCACATGTAATTGTCTTGGATTAGTTTGGCAAGAACAAATTTCCCTATGTTCCTGCTTTATTTTCTGAAACTAGTGGCATGTGTATATGTTAATTAATGTAGGATTAGAGATCGAAGCACCCAAATCACATGGTCAAAATGTATTTCTACTCACATAAGTTTACTATATGATGATATCTTTCTCCGTATATTGTCAAAACTTGACATCAAGTCTGTTGTTGTAATCTCGATCCAGGAGATAGATAAGCATTCCCCTTACTCCTCCTAATATAGCATAGGACAATTCATTGAAACATAGTGACATGAGTTATTGTGAGTATAGTTTAGAGTTTGGAATTTTCAAATTAAGAAAAATATTCCTCCAAGGCCACGTTGATAAATTTAGCCTCAAATGCCACTTCCAATTTAATGATGGTCCTATTTTGGAAATGATTCATGCTGCGACATGGAAGCAAGTGAAAGAAATTGATATTTGGTTGGGAAAAAAAAGCTCTAATGGACGATTACCACAAGAAGTGTTAACATCAACAACACTTGTTGTGTTGAAGCTTAAAGGACGTATTGTTTTTGATGTCCCTGAACTTGTATCACAACTTAATCTGAAGGCGTTCTACTCAAAAGATTTAATCCTACCTGTTAGTGATTCCATGAGACTGTTATTCGAAGATTGTAAATCTTTGGAAGAGTTGTTATTTGATATTACCATGCATGACCTTAAAAATTTCTCTTTCAAATCTGGTAATGATGATATATCAGGCACGAAACTTTCTATTGATGCTCCGAAACTAGGATTTTTTAAGTACCAAGGTAAGTTGCTTAAGTTCAACTTGATGGAAAAACTTAAGTTTCTTGTCGAAGTGAAAATTCTTATTTTAGGGGATGTGCAAGATCGAGAGGAAGAGTGCAATTTTATCAATAGCTTTAGTAGTGTAAAGTCACTCTATTTGTCACAAAATGCTATACATGTAAAATCTGACATTGGAAACTCATATTCTAATAATAAAATTAGTTATTTTAGTATATTTTTCTCATACTCTCTTTTATTTTCGCAAAGGTTGCGTACCCAAGTCCCTTGAATTCTGTGTTAGAATATGTGACGACTTTAGAGCTGAGGGTTCGTGATTCCCGAATATTGCCGAGCATTCCCAAGTTAAAAGAGTTGGTCATTCATTCAGTGAGCTATATTTGTTTTCTAAATTACGAAGCAAATAATAAATTTTTTCTTCAACGGTATGCTTACTTAAGAAGCACTTGGATATCTATACCAACGGGGATGTAGCTATAATTCGTTGGCCAGACGTCATGTCTTAGTCTTTGGCAAAACACCTTAGGAGGATTGAATTTTGCATATTCAGTGATAAATCCCAAGATATTATGTTGATTGAGTACTTTTTAAGGCATGTCACGATGTTGGAAATGATGGTATTTTGTAGATTACGAAGCATAGCTCCAAATACTCCAACAATCAAAGAAAAAATTGAAGGATTCAATAGATGTTTCAGAGTGCAATTTATGGACAAAAATCTATAGGAAATTCGGATGACATACATTTCTAATATTCCATAACGATCAACGTGGTCTTTCTTGGGTAGTTAGAGGTATCACATGTCTTGGCTTTCTATGAGGAAACCGATTTGAGTTTTCCATATGTAATTGTCATGGATTAGTTTTGAATGAGTTACATTCAGTTTCTTTGTTAGGTGTTTTAAATTCATGTTTTTTGTTTTTAAATTAGCTCTCAAGCACAAGTCAATTTCAATTTTTTTTAACAAAATGGTATCACACTTCCACCTCCTCCACCGACAGGAACGTCGACGCCAATGTCAGCTTTGTATTGTGGGACTTTCATTCTTTTCCCTGAAATTTCCTAATAACCCATGTTTTCTTTTTTAAAACTAATGTCCTACGTATATGTTAATTATTGTAGGATTCGAGATCGAGAGCATCCAAATCTCATGATTCAAAATGTATTTCTACTCACATAAGTTCACTACATGATGATATTTCTCTCTGTATATTGTCAAAACTTGACACTAAGTCATCTGTTGCAATCTCCACTCGATCCAGGAGATGGATAAACCTTCCCCTTACTCTCCCTAATATAGTATTTGATGATTCATTGAAGTGACAGGAGTTATCGGGGATATAGTTTAGAGTTTGGAATGTTCGGTTTAAGAAAAAATTTCCTCCGAAACCACATTGATAAATATAGCCTCAGATGCATCTAATGGAAGATTACCGCAAGAAGTGTTGACATCAACAAGACTTGTGGTGCTGAAGCTTAGATGACGTATTGTTTTTGATGTCCCTAAACTAGTATCCCTACTTAATCTGAAGGCGTTCCACTCAAAAGATTTAATCCAACCCATTAGTGATTCCATGAAACAGTTCTTCAAAGACTGTAAATCTCTGGAAGAGTTGTTGTTATTTGGTTCACGGTGACATATAAAAGTTTTTTATATTACCATGCAGGACCTTAAAAAGTTCTCTTTCAAATTTGGTTATGATGATATGTCAGACACTAAACTTTCTATTGATGCGCTGAAACTAGAATTTTTTAAGTACCAAGGTAAGTCATTTAAATTCAACTTGATGAAGAAACTTAAGTTTCTTGCCATAGAGGAAATTCTTATTTTAGAGGATGTGCACGATCGGGAGGAAGTGTGCAATTTAATTAACAGTTTCAGTAGTGTGAAGTCCCTCTATTTGTCACAAAATGCTATACTGATAAACTCTAACATTGGAAACTCATATTCTAATAATAGAATTAGTTATTTTAGCATGATTTTCTCATAGTCTCTTTTATTTTCGCCAAGGCTGCACCCAAGTCCCTTGAATTCTGTGTTAGAATATGTGGCAACTTTGGAGCTGAGGGTTCGTGATCTCCAAATACTATAGGGCATCCTTGAAAGTACTTCTCAACTTAAAGAGCTGGACATTCATTTAGTGAGCTATATTTGTTTTCTAGATTAAGAAACAAATAATAAATTTTCTAACACACTAAATTTTTTTTTCAACTGTATACTTACTTAAAAAGCACTTGGGCATCTATTCCAATAGGGGATGTAGCTCTAATTTGTTGGCCAGGCACCGTACCTTTGTGTTTGGCAAAACACATTAAGAGGATTGAATTTTGCATATTCAGTGATAAATCGGAAGATATTCTGCTGATTGAGTACTTTCTAAGGCATGACAAAATGTTGGAAATGATGGTATTTTCTGAACTACGAAGCATAGCTCCAAATATTCCAACAGTCAAAGAAATATTACTTAATTGCCTTAAGAATCTTTACCCCTTTTCGTTGAGTAGTGAATATATGTACAATTGTTGACTTCCATACTTGGAGTTCTCCTTTCCCTTTTTTATGCACTATTTATAGTGAGACTGCTCCTACCCATTGATTTGACAAATAATCGTGATTTTTAGATTGAATTAATCCAACGTCCAAAATCTATCTATTAAAACATTATAGAATTCATAAAAACTTCTTCCAAAAACCCTTAATTACCTTCTATAATCCCTAAATCTCACAGTTAGCTATCGCCATTTCCTTTCATCATCACCATCGATATTCCTCCTTTCTCTGGCAAAATTGAATCCCCAAACTACCACTATCTGGAATTTTTAAAAAGAGCCAAGATCCTTTTGCGCCCCATCCATGGGTATAATTTCCCTTTGCGTTCTTTTTCGTTTTTCTTCATTTGGCGATTTGTGTGTATAATTACTAGCAATTTGATTTCTTAATTTATGTTAATTGTGTCGATTTAGAAACTTCGTCTGGATTATTTTTATGTATTGAATTAACTATGTAAAATAATAGATACCATTTCGATCCATCTTGAGGCCCCTAAAAACCAATTGAGCTGCCACCTGGATATCCCTTAAAGAGAATCGTTAGAACAACGCTAAACTATTTATGGTAATTGATTCAAAGTTTAATTTTTTTTCCGCTCTGTAACTTTTTTTTTTAAAATTTATTTTCATGTGTCACGTGTTTAAAAATTGTTCCAAAGCATTGCATCTAGTAGCATTTCGAGAATTATATTGGAAGCCTCTGTATAAAACCTCTCACATTTTTAATTTTTAGCAGAAATTTGTATGGTCATTATTCTTAAATATGGTTGTTCATTTTCTAATATGAAATACCACCGATTCTGTACATTACTAATAGTAGATTAATTCTCATCTGTACATTATTTTTAAATGTTTCACGAACACTTTGATTCTACGCGATATTTATCACTCGAAATGCTACTAAAAAGGCCAATGACTCATGCAATAATGATAAGTACTTGTGAAATGGAAAAGTTCGAAGATCTAATGAATTGAAGACGATGACAAGTGTGCAAAAAATCCTCTATGAATTCTCAGATATTCGTATGAAAGTTTATAGTCAGAAAATACGATAATTTTTCATTTCTTTTTATGGATTCTTTATGGGTTTTCAAAATGTCAAATTAAAGAACATCGATGACAAAGTGTTTCACAATATTCACCTATTTGAATCATGTTCATTTTCAAGTTTTGATGTTTCCACATTTGGCACAAAATCCAGCTCAACTAAATCGACCCAATATGAGTATCTATGTTTCTATTTCCTAGAAAATATGGAATCACTATTATTCTAAATCAGATTATTGTGTGTAAAGAAATATGGGTGTAGATGCCGATCAAAATGAGTTAAGTGCGAAAAGTAGTTGTCGGAGATTTTCAGATGGCACAATTGTAATGGAAACAATTTTCAAGGACAATTTGGATCGCTTAAAAGACACGAAATTAATTGTGTGCTCTCTTAATGGTTTATATGTGATGTAGGACAATCAAGTTGTAAATATGATCTCTTGCTTTGATAGTATTTTATATAATTTTTCTTTTTTCTTAGTCAGAACGAAATTTTCTTCTTTTTTTATTAAGAATGTATTTCTTTCTTTTTGTATAGAAATTGATTTTTTTCTTTTACTCTTTTTTGTTGCTTAAAGTATCTATTGTGTTCTCTTCAAGTTTTTACCTTTTCATAAACACAACTTTCATAAGTTTTTTTTTATTTAATACAGATGAAACATTAGAAATTGATTGACCAATATATATATATATATATATATATATATGATATTGGTAATGTCTCGTAAAGAATGAGTGCGAGTTTAATTTTATGAATTTTATTTCGATCTACAATTATAGTAGACTTGCTTTGTTTGCAAGTCCCTATTTAATTTTTTGTGGNTATATATATATATATATATATATATATATATATATGCTAAAGTATATAGGATGTTGATGCAACAAGGTAGTCAAGTGTATTTCTCAGCCAATTTACTTTACGTTACCTCGATTACACTAGCCTAGACCAGATCATATAGATAATTTAATTCGGAAATGAGCTGAAAATTAGAAATTTATGTCATGTTTGAGCCCCATTTTCGGTGAAATTTTTTTTATAATAATACTTTTTTTGAAGAATGTAGTTAAAACATATTTAAAAATTTTGAATTTACATGTAAAATTATTTTATAAAAATAATTTTTTTTTTAAAAAAGCGGAGCTTATCTTCTTATCTATGAGAATGGTATTTCACTATTGGAAAATGTCACTTGTACGCTCTTTTGTTGGCATTTCAAGTGTTGATTGGTGAAAAATTGTCGAAAATTTAAATTGTCCAATTGTGTATTATCACGAGACAAAGTGTAAAAATAATGTAAATGACAATGTACATTATTGTTCACTATTTTAGTTATTTAAATTTTGGTTGTCTCAATAAGATTGAGCGTTTTTTGTTTTCTCTCAACTGGGATTATCGAAACGCGGCACACCGTAAGCGTTCCACCTTGACAGCATTCACATACGTGTCCAACCCGCCGCGTCTCACCACGATATATATACACATATTCATGAATGTATATCTAAATATATATTTCTTCTCTATGCCCAAAACACCTCTCAATATCACAGTGCATGCAGTCAGCAATGGCGAAACCTTCATTCCTCCTCCTCCCTCTGTTCCTCCTTTTTATACTAGCACTATTTTCAACACGCGCCGCCGCCATCGGAGGATTGATTGGGGGAAGAACGAAGGTCAAGGACGTGAAAACCAACAAGGAAATACAAGATCTAGGGAAATTCTGCGTGGAAGAGTACAACCGGAAACAGCAGTACACGGCCAGAAGCAGCAAGCTTCTGATGTTCTTAGAGGTTGTGGAGGCGGAGAAGCAAGTGGTTTCCGGCATCAAATATTATCTCAAAATTTCTTCCACCACTTACAGCGGAGCTCCCAAATTATTTGATGCGGTTGTGGTGGTTAAGCCGTGGGTCGATTCAAAAGAGTTACTCAAATTTGCCCCTTCCTCTTCCACTAACATTAAGCAGTTTTGGTAAATAATCAATTTGGTTGCTGTTTGTAATTCTGATGCAGGGAATATGATCAGTTGGTAGTAATTTTGTCAATAATTGATCAAATTCTGTCAAAACTTGCAATTTATTAATCAGTTTATAAGGTAATAATCTCTTCTAATCATTTTATTAAGGTAATTGACAAGATCAAACCCTCTATTTGAGTTTTAAGATAGTACGCAAAACACGTGTGCTAATCTCAGATGGAATTCTGAAATGTGAATTAAATTACTTGTACACTTTTTTTTTTTCATTAAATTTGACATTCTAAGATGTGTCAAAATCCGTGCTACTTATTATTTAAATTGTTGTTAAAATCAATGTATAAAAAGTCGCCACCTCACAACAATGTCAAACTTAATGTACATATTTGAAAACATTGAAATATATATATGTTTTCTAAAATTTCCTATCTTTTTGTTATGTTCAGTGTTCTAAAAAACGTGTCTAGGCGCGAAGCGTGATGAAAACGTTTCGCCTTGAGCTTAAGTAGTCATCGACAATGTTGACCGCCTAATGCTCCCCTAGGCGTTTCTAGGCCCGCCTATTGACCATTTAATGCGTGCCTAGGCGAGCATTAGGCACGCCTCTGCCTTTTTTTTTTTAGATGCACACCAAGAAAATGAATAGACTTGACACTACGAGGATGAACAATCTTGTTTATGCCCAATTTAATGCAAGGTTGATGAACAGTGAGAAGAAAAAGGCTAAAATAGAGACTTTACTAGCAAGTGATGCTATTAATGCACAATCTTGAATTGTAGAGAATTGTGATGATGAGGGTGAGGAAGAGAATGATATCTTACAACCTACAAGAGGTACAAGAAATGATCAAAATAAAATAAGGGAGCCCGATAATGATGATTTTGTATCGGACGATACGGATGACGAATTGATGAAGAAGAAGATATTGAATTGGAGTTCGATAAAGAGTTAGATTAAATAAGATTTAAGCTACAAGTTATCTACGCTATGTAATTATGATTTTGAAACTTATTTTATGTAAGAATTATTAAATAAATACAGTATTTTATAATTTTAGATGTTTGGTATGTATTATATGAATTATTGAATTTTTTTACAATGATTAAAAATTTATAATAAAAAACATTTTTTTTACGCCTAAGCTCATAAAGCTTGAAATTTGTCAGTATAAATTATTAAGTAAATACAGTATTTTATAATTTTAGATATTTGGTATGTATTATTCGAATTATTGAATTTTTTTACAATGATTAAAAATTTAAAATAAAAAATGATTTTTTACGCTTAAGCTTCGCCTAGGCTCGTAAAGCTTGAAGCTTGGCCTCCACGCCTAGCCACGCTTCACACTTTTTAGAACACTGGTTATGTTTTCTAGAATATAAAATAGGGAAAATTGTAGCAACAGTCCTTAACTTTTGAATTTGTAGCAAATTTTACTCTAATCTATAATTTGTGTCAGTTGAGGATTTGAGGATTTGAGAAATTAGCAGAAGAAATCCTAACGGGTCCATCCATTGAAATATTAGTTGACCAGGAAAAGTGGACTTTGACTAAATTAAAATGGGCAAAATAGCAACTTTAAAATTAACATTTTCTCAAATATTAATAATTAAACTAAAAACAAAAAACACCTCCCCCTTTGTCATGATCTCCCTTAGCGCAATAGGCATTGTCCATTCCAACTTCACATTTCATGGGGTGCCTTTCTTCTTGACACAAAAAGGGACACCGAGCGGTAATAGTTTGCTCCGCTAGGCTACCTTCCACTTTTTCTCGATGGTTTCGGGACGAAAGAAAATTTGATTACAATTTTGTAGAAATCTTATAATCTAAATTTGAATGCATTGAAAGTAAATTGATTGATGAAAACTGAAAATTATAATTGATGAAAGCAGAAAATTACAATTGATGTTGTAGGCAGCGAATACCAATGGGTTTGAAAGATTTTTGAATGACTAATATCCCTATAATAGCTCGCGGAACAAAAATCTAAGTAATAGAAGTAGATTTTTAAATGACGAAGAATCATACCAAGCTTTTAAAAATAGCAGAGCTATTTTACAACTGAAATAAATTGAAATAAATTATTATAACTAAAAGAAAATTACAACTCAAACTTAAACTAATATTTACAATGTGCGGTTGAAGTTAGGCAAACTGTGGCTGCAAATGGGTCAAAGGGCTAAGTATAGCTGTGATCATTTACATTCTCCCCCCATTTGTTTTGGTGATGTCCTCTGTGCCATCGATGTATGCTATTCTTCAATTAGAGGTTTGAAGGCTCTAAGGTCTTTGGCTCTTTCCCAAGTATTCACTTCGTTGCTGCATTCACTCTATTTAACCAAGTACTCTTATTGATTTTTTCTGGAACCTCGAGTAATTCGATGCTCAAGAATAGCTTCAACAACCCTCTTTCTAGCTTTCTTCAATTCAAACACAGGTCGCTTTAGTTCATTTCTGGATGCAACCTCATTATCTACCAAGTATGGCTTGAGTACACCAATATGGAGGACAATGGATTTCGCACCATGAAAGGAGTTATACTCTATATACGACTCTTCTAATCCTCTTCACGATGAGTAATGGTCCAATATATTTTCGCACAATCTTGATTTTTACCCTCTTGTTGGCTTATAACAATTTCTGTCAGAAAATTTAACCACTACCAGATCTCCAACATTAAGTTCAAGAAAACAGTGCTTTAGATCAGTAGACTTTTTGTACCATTTTTTGAGCTTTTTCAAGATAGTTTCGAGCAATTTCAATATTTCGTTTCCACTCTTGAAAGAAGTTTATCGCTTGAAAGGACTTGGTACTTAGATTGATATCTATAGAAGGGAATAATGACTACTGGCCTGTCACAATCTCAAAAGGACTTATATTGGTGGAAGAGCTCTTTTGGGTATTGAAGTAGGTCTGAGTCGTAGCCAACAGTTTAACGCATTTTTTCTGCGAAGTAGAGATAAAGTACTGAAGATATTCTCCCAATATAGAATTGAAACGCTATGTCTGTCCGTCAAATTGTGGGTGAAAAACTAGAACTCGTGCTCAAAGTTGAACCAAGAAGTTTTAACAACTCGGTCCAAAATATGCTAGTAAACTGGGGATCCTGATCGCTGATGATGTCTTCAGGCAGTCCTAGTATTTGACAATATGTTTAAAGAAGAGTTGAGTAGTTTCTTCAGCTGATACATAGTCAGGCGCTGCTATGAAAGTTGTGTGCTTTGATAGATGGTCCATCACGACGATAATAGTGCTAAAATCCTCCAACTTTTGTCAATCCAATAATGTCGATACACTCTCGAATGGCGTAGTTGGGATGGAAAATGGCTCTAGCAAGCCTATCTTTTTTCTGATAATTTGCCTTATTTTGCGACAAATAAGGCAATTTTTCACATAAGTTGCAATATCATGCCACACTTGAGGCCAATAGTATGCACGTCGTAATAGTGCACAAGTGTATTCCTCTCCAGGATGTCTTGCCCAAATCATGTCATGTCATTCTATAATTAAAGCTTTCCTCAAATCTCCACCATTAAAACATATAAGCTGTCTCTTTTACTAGTCCCTAGACCCCTATCTTGCCAGAACTGTCGATTTTTTCCTACTTTATGAGGTGGACCAAATATTGAGTAGTCTGGTCCTTATCCAAAAGTGTCGAATTTGGTCTCTTGTGTTTGTAGTAATTATGCTCCTTAAAAGAACGATCGTGGAGTAAATGGTGGACAAGTCCGCCCGTCGACTAAGAGTATCGGCAACATGATTACACAATCCAAAGCAAAATGAAGATAATGTATTGGCAAGAATGTTAAACCATAAAGAAGCTATCATATCTCATTTAAGTTGGGCCAGCCTCATAGAATTGGGACAATATTCCAGTATAGAGTTGAACTCTGAAAGAAATTCCTGTCAACGAGCCTATTTGCTTGATATTTTCGATTGTAACATGAAATGACTAACCGCAATATTATTTATCTTCACAATAAATGGAGACCTAAGTAAGTAATGACTCCATCCTCTAAGGCAATGAAGTACCGCCAACAACTCGTTTTCGTACGCCGACTAAGGCATTTTGCTTGATTCAACTTTCAGCTCTCATATGCTACCAGATGTCCTTGCATAAGGACTTCACCAAGCACAAAATCTGAAGTATATGTATGAATTTCGAATGGTTTAGTCATATCTGGTAAGGCTAACACCGAGTTCGTTCAAATAGACTTCTCCAACTTTTCAAAAGTCGTTTAGCATTGGGATGACCAGTCATTGACAGGGCAATTTCTAAGTATCCTTTCACAAAACTTCGATAGTAATTGCATAACCCGCGAAATGAATGTACATTGATAAGTGTAATTTTTTATACTTATTCAGGACTTAAAATAATGATATTTGATAGTTCTTTTGATAAAATATATTATAAATTATTGTATTTTTATGTTTAATAGATAAAACTCCATGAATGGAAAAGGAATTGAAAGAAGGAAACAAAAAATGGCAAAATCCAAAGTACAATGACTAACTTGCAATGTATGAAAGAATAGAGGACTTGAAAGCAAGCATTAATTTTATTGAGCCTCAACTTGAACTTATAATTAGACCCAAAAATTTGGTGGTTTAGGTTTTATATATTTTACATTTATATACACACCCACGGAGGAAAGAGGAGAGGACGCACACNATGTACACATAGATTAATCCATAAAGAAAAGGCCAAGGCAAAGTTGGCTGGGGAAAAAAAATATACAGGCATACAGAGGCAACAAGTGGCGGCTGCTTTGGATTTTTATATATATTCACAGAAAACAGAAACAGGAAAAGACAGTAGACACGAAGGGAAAAAAGTCAGTTTCAATCAATTCCAAATTTGTTCACGTTTCGTCAATTTCTGATGATATCATTGTACTTTTGCGTGTTTAATTTCAATATTATGCTAGGCTAAATTTTTACATTGCTAATATATTGATGAACCCTTGTTTTGAAATTTTTAGTATTAATTAATTATT